GGTTCGATGACGCTAGGGTTTATAGGGAAAGTATGTACGCGGTTACTGAATGTTGTTCGGAGTCCCGGATGAGATCCCGGACGTCACGAGGAGTTCCAGAATGGTCCGGAGGTAGAGATTGATATATAGGAAGTATGGTTTTGGCCACCAAAAGTGTTCCGGGCATCACCGGGACCACCGGGAGGGGCCACGGGCCCCGGAGGCATACATGGGCCAAGTGTGAGAAGGGACCAGCCCCTAGGTGGGCTGGGGCGCCTCCCCACGAAGGCCCATGCGCCTAGAGAGAAGAGGGGGCAAACCCTAAGGGCAGATGGGCCTTAAGGCCCATGCCTGGTGCGCCTCCCTCTTCCCCCACTTGTCCGCCACCCCAGATGGGGATTGGGGCTGCCTCCACCCCTAGGGTGGGAACCCTAGGTGGGGTCGCAGACCTCCCTCTCCCCCTATATATAGTGGAGGCAAAGGGGCAGCCCAACACACGAAGTTCTTCCCCTGTTGGCGCAGCCCTACCTCTCTCCCCCCTCGTCTCTCGTAGTGCTTGGCGAAGCCCTGCTGGAGTTCCGCGCTCTTCCGCCACCACCACGCCGTCGTGCTGCTGCTCGACGGAGTCTTCCCAACCTCTCCTTCTCCCCTTGCTGGATCAAGGCGTAGGAGACGTCACCGGGTTGCACGTGTGTTGAACGCGGATGCGCCGTGGTTCGGCGCTTAGATCGGAATCAACCGCGATCTGAATCGCTACGAGTACGACTCCTTCATCCGCGTTCTTGCAACGCTTCCGCTTAGCGATCTACAAGGGTATGTAGATGCACTCTCCTTCCCCTCGTTGCTAGATTACTCCATAGATTGATCTTGGTGATGCGTAGGAAATTTTAAATTTCTGCTACGATCCCCAACAGCGTCACCCCCGTGAATACTGATATCCCTAACCTATCAACTAGTCCTAGCCGAAGCAGCAACATACACCTCCCCGCCACTGTATGTCAAAGCGACCAAGGGAGAGGGAGGCGAATACATGGGTTCGCCGCGTGGAGATCGAGAGGAGGAAGGCTTTGCACCGGTCGCCTTGCGAGAGGATAAAAAAGACAGATTGAATTATTTAAAATTTCACTAATCCAAAGTTATCCTAGGTTTTGACTAGCTCTCCTTTGTAAAGAAAAACCAAGTCGCCATCTTCGAACAAGACAAAAGGCTGCATTGTGCATTTTTTAAAATTGTATTTGCGCAACAACGGTTTAGCGATCATCAAGTAGACACATCATCCATAGATTGTTTAAGGTTAAAGCTAGAGAGATCATCATTCCACTTGCAAGAAACTTTATACCAAAACAAAATCTAGCTACTCCATGTGCCATCTCATTAACTTCTCACAAACATTGCTTGAAATCAACCTTCCCGGTCCTATGTTGCAAGTTTATGCATTGTGAAAAGATGGTCACTGCACCATTCCATCACATATCCTATCTCGTTTACTTCATATGTGTCTGACTCCTCTCGAATGGCATGACACCCCAACCCAGTTGCCAAAAATTGTGGCTATCCCATAGTGCTATAGCTTTCGGTCAATAGTTAATTCAACGTTAAATATCCTTTTTTTGACTTTTTTGTGCTTACATAAAGTGTGGTTGGTTCAAAGGATAGGCTTGAGTGACTGCGAGTATTCCAACCAATTGGCTAGGGGTAGCCATTTTTTCTGCTTGGGTGTGTAGGTGGGAGAAGCCAATATTTTGTTTTGGTTAGGAGGATGAAAGGTCGTTTGGGGCAGCCATCTGAGTGTTTTATTTAAGGGGTGAATGGTGGATAGGGATCATAACGACATTTTGATTCAAGTGGAGAGATTAGCTTCATAATGTGTAACTTCTACAGAAAAAGTACCAATTATCATAATACATTGATGTTGTTATATAAACAATTTTGGTATCCTTAGTAGTGTGGTTGAAGAAATGTAAGTATATGTGTGTACGACAACCTTATACCAAGGTTACAAATGACATGTTGATGTTTTTAAATAGGCCCAACCGTCTCCTAACGTGTGAACTACGTCTTATGTGAGGGGAGACATCGAGAGAAGTACTCGACACATATAACATTGTGTTTTTGAAGTCTCACAACTCTCGATGCTGCTGCTCGAATCTCCTGCTTGTCCCAGGTGCCAATGTGCCATGGAAGATCGCGAGCATATGTTCTTTTGGTGTTTGATGTCTCGGGCGCGCTATTAGCATCCGCCCGTCTTTCTCTTCGCAAGCGTGTGGTCTACTCAAACACCTAATGGTCTACAACCTCGATTTGACCCTTCATTATCCTCCTCATGCCACAGAAGCTTTGGGATGCTAGAAACTCAAAATTCTATCAAACTACGGTAGCTCTCTTTCTCTCTCTCTCTCTTGGTCTTTAATATAGTGATCTCTTTGAAAATCAATCTGATGTAATTCTTGTGACCTTTTTGTTGGGATCCGATGAATTATGGATTTATGATCAAATTCTTCATTGAATCTATATGAGTCTTTTGAAGTTTCTTTGTTGCGTAATTTTATGCCTTTGTATTTCTCTCTCGTCTATTAGTGTACTTTGCCCAAGTTTGATTGATTTATCTTCAGTTGGGGAGGTGCTTTGTAGTGGGTTCAATCCTGCAGTGATCTAGTCCAATGACAGAAAGGACAAAGTCACATGTTATGTTGTTGCCACTAAGGATAAACGACAGGGTTAATCTTATTACTGGGTTTTCTCCTGTCTATATTATATCATCTTGCTTATTGTGTTACTCTGTTTCTTGTGAACTTAATACTTTGAGATGCATGTTGGATAACGGTCTTGGGATGGAGTAATAGTTGTGGACGTCAATAAGTTTAACGGTTTACTTATCACATACGTAATGCCTATGTGAGATTATGACATGAATGATCATAGTTATAATTTGCGATATTCTGACAATTTCATAACAATAATTTGTCTACCATGCCACTGCATGCTTTTGCAAAAGATGACACTAGTGAACCTATGGCCCTTAAGTCTATTTTCCATCCATACAAAAACTCCTAAAATCGCTCTTTTACTTTTTTGCCACTTTGCCCTATCACTATTTGCTTTTAATCTTGTAACTAGTTAAAACAAGGGGATTGATAATCCCCTTGCCTTTGTTGGGTGCAGGAAATTTATTTGTTTGTGTGCAGGTACTGCCAACGTTATTAGATCGGTGTCTCCCATCGGTTCGATAAACCTTGGTTCTTAACCGAGGGAAATACTTTCTACTGTTGTGCTACATCACCCTTTCTCTTTGGGAAAATCCAGCAACTCCATCATGACTAGTACACTTAAGTAAAAGATGGCTCATGGGTATATAAAGACTAGTCTAAGGTTGAATATTCATGACTCATGGCAACCACTCATTATCCTCCATATGAAGACCTCTTATAGACTTGGGCTTCTTTACTCCTTATCTTTTTCTCCCTATAAGCCACCAAACTGCGTGAAATGCCTTCGTTCCCTCGAACCTCCATTGTTCTAAGAAACCTTTTAATACCAGTTTGATTCCAATGCATACAGACAGGTAGCTCATCAATTTTTTTATTTTTTAAAAACCCACTATTCCTGCGCAACCTTTTAATCCCGATTTCGTTCCGTTGCATACAACTAGATAGCTAATCAGGCTTTTTAATGATGGAGTAAGCTTTATCTAATGGGGAAGCATGCATGGTTGCGCACATGGCTAAAGTACACTGCACATGGTTGATCGGTGTGAAGAATGATTTACTCAAAACTGATTCAACTCGCATTTTATCTTTCTATGCGAGTATTTTTTATGAAAGCACATCTATAGTTGCTATAGTTGTTTTAGCTTTAGTCGAGGTTTGAAATGTCTTTGCCATCTCTAATCAACGATCGTCTCATATCGCTTCTTTGATATATTGTCAATGTAACAAATTAACAGAACAAAGATCACACTCATTTTCAGCATTTTCATCAAGTTTTCTTTAGATGCTTACTCTAAACAACATTTCTTTCAAACATGATTCTTTGTCATCAATTTATACTATGTTTCATATTTTTAAACATCAAATTATTTGTTAACAGTTCTCGCAGCAACACGCGGGACATCATCTAGTTCCTATGTAGGATAGGGATCAATCATTCACATCTGAAAGAAAGAAAAACATTATTACTTGGTTCATAGAATAGGAATCATATGACAAAGAAAGTGAGTTGACATGCCTACAGTGAAAGAAAGAATTTTTTCATTGAGTCTAAGCTAAGGCCTTCTTTGGTTTAGAGAAATTTTGTAGGAATTTTAGAGGATAGTAATTTGTTGAAAAAACTCCTTTGAAGCCTTTGGTTTAGAGAAATGGATTCCTATTCCTATGTACTTACTCTTTTTCATAATACGTGTCGTGATACAGGGAGTAGGATATAAACCAATCTTTCACATTTCAAAGAAATAAAAATAGCCTAGACTCAATGAAAAATATGATATCTTATGAATCAAGTGACATTTATTTGCTAATAAAAATTAAGATCCATATCATCTCATTTCTAATAGTTCTCCATCGTCGTATTACGACCAAAGGAGGCCTAAATTCCCTAACAAACAAACAAAAACAAAGGAGGCCTAAAAACGTCGACGGCGAGAGGATAGCCCAAGCCCATCTGACACCCTGACTCTCTCTTCCCCTAATCCCCGCGAAGGAAAGCGAAATGTGAAAAATCGCGGAGCACACCCTCGTTCGTCCCCGTCGTCCGCCAGTGCCAGTGGCAACCAATTCGGTCTCCCCTTCCCCAAATCTCGCTCCACAGTCCGGCTCCGGCTCCGGCTCCACACGGCGCGCCGACGGTCAACCTTGGCGCCTTGTCTCGCGTCCGCGGCAGCTCGGCGCAACGGTGGGCGCCTCCGCCGGACAAGCAGTAGCGTTCCAGTAGCAAGGCGACCCCGCTATTATCAGGCACTCTCTCGACTGGCTCGGAGCAATTTGCCACACCGCCTGCTGATTGCGCCCGATTGTTAGGTTGGGGGCATGTCGAGCGCGGTGGTGAACGGGCTGGCCGGCGCCGGCGGCGGCATCATCGCCCAGATCATCACATACCCCCTCCAGACCGTACCAACCCTTCTCCCCTCCCGTTCTCTATAACTAATTCCACTACTCCCCGCTAATCAGCTCACTCCTCTCGCTTCCTGGTGATGTCTCGACAGGTGAACACCCGGCAGCAGACAGAGAGGTCAGCGAAGAAGAAGAAGGCCGGTGGCGGTGGCTCCGACGCTTCCACCCTCTTCCAGATGCTCCAGGTGATTCCTCTTAGGTTTATCATCATTTATTTACAGTTGCCAATGCTAATGTCCTAGTGGTTAATTGTGGAACTGCAGCTGGTCCAAACGGAAGGCTGGGGTGGGTTGTACAGCGGCCTCAAACCCTCACTTATTGGCACCGCTGCCTCGCAGGTAAATACAATAGTTTTGTAATTCTTGATCTGTTTTTCTGTATGTGCAACATTATTCTCGAACAATCATAGACCTATGGTGTTCTTTCCCAGTACGCGACACTTGATAATTCCATCTAGTCTGATTTTCTTATGTACTAGTACTCCCTCCGTTTTTATTTAGTCCGCATATTAGCTTTGGTCAAAGTCAAGCTTTGTAAACTTTGACTAAGTTTATAAACAAAAATATTAATATATACAATAATAAATCAATACTATTAGATTCATTGTTGAATGTACTAACACATCATATAGATTTGTTATGGTAAATGCTTATAATTTTTTCTATAAAGTTGGTCAAACTTTATGAAGTTTGACTTCAGTCAAACCTAATATGCAGACTAAATAAAAACGGAGGGAGTATCATATTTGTGTTTTTTCATTTGCAGGGAATCTATTACTACTTCTACCAGCTTCTCAAGAACAAGGTGGAAGATGTGGCAGCTGCTCGTGGGAAAAAGGGCCTAGGGGATGGCACTGTTGGGATGTTTTCTTGGCTTGTTATTGCAGCTGTTGCTGGGTAAGTCAACCTACTTGCATTCGTTCAACGGACCAGTCACTTATTTTTCTTGAAATGATAATGTAAGAAATCCTGGATGGGGCTGTTCAGTTATCTATTGGTGTTAGTGTAAGAGGGCATTCCAGCAGCATGGATGCAATCAAACAAAGGCTTTTGCAGAAGAGTTGTGCACTTGCCTGTGGAAGCTTTGACTTTGACATGAACATGTAAATGTTCACTGACTGTTGAAACTTGAAATCATTTTGAACTAGATAGCAGATGATAATATGCAATTAATGCTAATGTATGGGCAGCTATGAGCCTATGACTGTTGCCCTGATCCTGCCTGTGACTGACCGAAGCAATGGTTCACATTAAGCTGTAAGCTTGTAATTCTGTCCAGCCAAGGCTGTTTCTGTTCTGATGAATTATAATTTTATACCATATCCCAAACTCAATCACCTTACACTCCTTCATAGTCGTCTAGTGGATTATATCCCCTTCACAAGAAAGATCAGAGACAACTTCTAGATGAAATTTATCTTTAGTGACATGTGTTGGGTTCGTTGCAGGGACAAGTATAACGGGAATAACCAACCAGGGATGAACATAATGCGTAAACTACTAAATAATAGGAATATTCCATAAGGATATCAGGGTTCTATTTCCCCTCAGCCATCTAGTTTCATTACCTCTGTTGTAGCTCTGCAGTCCTTTCATCCAGGTTGTATCTGTTTGGATTATGCATCTTTAAGTTATTCATGAATATCGTGCCGTGTGTTTCAGTTCTTGGCAGTTATCTTGGTTTATTTATTGGTAAAAACTGAAGCATCTGTATGAATAAAAAAAACCGAGTTGCATGAGATACTGAGATTGATCCTTAGGCATGCTCATGGAATCCTTTCTGTGCTTCAGGTCAATCAATGTTCTTCTTACAATTCCAATATGGGTTCTTGTCACACGTATGCAGGTAAACTTTATTAAACGAACTTCCTTTAAAAATTTGGCATGAGAACCACTGAATTTTGTTGAACAAAAGAGTTACCAGAAGACTACAAGATTCGAAATAGGCTTAACGAGACCCTATTGTAGTGAAAGCAGTGCGACGATTTCCACTACATCCTAATACGTGTGTACTGTGTTTGCTCTGTCTTTGATGATGACAAGGAGTCCACAAACGGGCCCCATTCCACTACCAAAGCACAATGGTTACTACTCCCTCCGTCCCATAATATAAGACTTTTTTTGACTCTAGTGTAGTGTCAAAAAACGTCTTACATTATGGGACGGAGGGAGTACTTATTAGGCCACGCCATCCTTTTGTGAAATTAGTTGGAAGTCCATACGGTCGTTACCAGGCCTGTACTAGTAATGCAACCACTATTACAAAAAACTGTGCAAAGGTTTTGCTCACTCTAAGAATAACAATTATAACGCAACCACTAATAGTTTGCAATGTCTCTATATGCTATTCCATAGAAAGTAATGCTTTACTTATATCTGATCAGCAGATGATTTCCCCTCCTACTTTTCAGACACATACACAGGCAGAAAGGAAGGTGATAGAGTCCAAGAGGGAGCTTTTGCTTAAGGAAATATCCAGGGCCAATCCAATGGATGCTCATATTCTTAAGGATAGATTAGCTAAGCTTGATTCTGAAAAACCTCGCCCATATGGCACACTTCAAGCAGTGAGCACTCTTTTTCTCAAGTTGTCGAATGTTCTTACTATTCGGATTCCTTAGAAAATACTAAACATAGAAATTAAAATACCGTTTCTCTTTTTAAAATGTAATCACTGATGACGTTTCTGCTGGAATTGTTGAGTTTAAACTTCAAGTTACATTAAGCTTGCCTGTAGAGCCCATGAGCACCAGACAGGCCGAGCATTCATCTAGATCCACTCCACCAACTATTTATCTCGAATTACATTTGTTCGATCACCTTATTTCTGTAGGCTTGATTACTGCACCCTATATGACAAATATCATCTGCTAAAACTTCCATCTGTATATTTGAACAGTAATGATGACTGGCATTAGAACACCGTAGTGTCCAGTCTTGCTAATTAACTTTCTACTTCTCAACTGAAGTTACGAGACATAATTATACTTACTACTATCAGTGTTAAACAGATCCGGGAGGTCTATCGTGAATCAGGCATAAGTGGATTCTGGAAAGGACTTATTCCGACACTAATTATGGTTAGTTATCTGTTTCAAGAACATCAGAACCAAAATTTAGTGGACATATATGTAATAACATTGGTTGAACCATGTGAACCTTCAGGTATGCAATCCATCAATTCAGTTTATGATATATGAAACACTGTCAAAACATCTCAAGTCAAAGCGGTCTGGAAAGCGATTCCCCAAGAAGAATATCACTGCTATGGAGGTAAGGGATGTTTATCTATAGTTCATGTCTCTATGTTCACGAATATATGTTATTTTGGACGGTTTAATTACTGACTGTTAACTGTTAGCATACTGTCTTCCTAGAAGCTTTATTTTTCTGTTTCTAGAAATTTGCATGTACCTGTGACTGTCTTCCTAGAAACTTTGTTTTCTATGTACTATTTATCCAAGTGCAGGTTTATATCTCTTATATATATGAATAGAAGTACTTGCTTGATGCTTCATATAGTAAATATTCTTCATTGGTGATGCAGTTATCTCAGATCACTTCTCCGTTACATGATTGTATTTCAACATACACACTGTGATTATTTGAGAAAGCTAGATCATTTATTGGCACAAAGGGTCAGGACATTATATATACTGTTTTTAGGCATGCTTGCATGTTGTACAATGTCCAGCTTGGGAGGTGACTTCAGGGAGGAGGATCCTTGACTCCTGGTTATTTCTTGCTCCATTTTGGTACAAATGCAATGCATATCTGTTTATTGCAGTTAGACAATTAGTTATTTCTCTTTGTCTCATTCCACATCCCAGATCTATATTTGTTTATTTGTACTTCAAATCCAAAGCTAAACAACAGTACAAGCTTTTGAAATATTCTCACATATATTTCTATGTTTCATTCTCAGTATTTTCCCTTGAACAGGTATTCTTAATAGGTGCAATGGCAAAGCTGGGAGCTACTCTTGTGACCTACCCGTTGTTAGTGGTCAAGGTAAAAATATACTCCCTCCGTTCCGAATTACTCGTCGCAGAAATGGATGTATCTAGATGTATTTTAGTTCTAGATACATCCATTTCTATGATGAGTAATTTGGAACGGAGGGAGTATTTGGCAGTTCATCACCTGCAAAGTTTATCACTAATGTGCTGCCCTACCCATACTTATCTGAAGCACATCTTTAAAAAATAATTTATGGTAGAAAGATGCCCCTAGTTAGAAAATTTTGGGAAAATCTGAAACATATGGTATTTGTGAACTTATCCAAATGACTCAATTGGATTATACCAAGCTGAACTGCAAAGCAGACTCTGATAAAAAGGGGTTTCTTTCCATTTTGTTACCTTGTTTCCCAGTTCTAGCAAAGAAACTACTACTTGATCTCCTGCAGTGCAGTATTGAGAAAAATAGCCCCATCAGTAGGCTCACCATCTAGTACCTGACGCATAGCATCATGAATGTCTGGTTCTGTCATCTATGTGACCACACAACAGCATGCAAATTTCACTCAAAAAGAGTTTAATCTAGATCTGCTGTGGAATGTGAATGCAACTAGTTGATCAGGCATGCATGCAACTACACAGCCTATTCCGTGTGGTTTGAAATGGGGTTTACTTTAACAGCAAAGAAATTATGTTATGTTCAATCTGTTTTGATCATGTATTTTACCCCTTGCAGTCTAGGTTGCAGGCAAAACAGGAAATTGGCAGGAACGCGGCGTCCAGATATACAGGTATCTTTCACCAGCATTTAACCAAAACTTGTAAAAAACGTCGGAGTTTTAATGGCTTTCTGAACCAGTGTGCTCTGATTGTGCACGATCTGCTGTATCCTCGTTTTATGCTTGTGCATCTACTCCTGTCACCTCTGTTCAAAAGTGGCATGAGATTGACCGCCTGTATTTACCAGGTACATTAGATGCAATATTGAAGATGATTCGCTACGAGGGATTGCATGGATTTTACAAAGGAATGGGTACAAAGATTGTACAGAGTGTTCTTGCCGCCTCGGTCCTTTTTATGGTGAAGGAGGAGCTGGTTAAGTTTGTAGTTCTTTTAGTTGCCAGGAGCAGGACTCTGCTTCTTACTAGATCTAACAAACTATAGATCTTGTTCTCTGATCAGATTATTTTGTTGTCTCCACATGTAGTATTCCTTTTGAAAATGCACTTTCAGTTCTTTATTAGTCAGAAAATCTTAAATATCTCTAATTGCTAAAGATGTTCTTCTTTGTGGCGTGAGTTCCTCTCTTCGAACCATCTGTGAACTCTGTAACATCTGCTACCTTTGAAATATATTCAGGTGGGGAGTCTTTCCCCCCGGTGACCATTTCAAAAATAATTACTGCCTCAGGAAATCCATAGTCTGAGTCCCAGACATTGATTTATTTTTGGTTTATTGAACCGGGGGGCATGAGCCGTATGGCGGTGTGCGACGTTTGGTTGTCACTGTCTCAGTGACGCTGTCGTTTGGTGCAATGGCAGTTGACCACTGGCATCAAGAGCTGTCTGGCCAGTTATTTCATCGAAAGCAGCTAGCTGAATCGAGTTTGTTCACTGGTAATCGCTACTCCCTCCGGTCCATAATAAGTGTGTCTGTGTTTTTTTTTTTTGCATAAAAAGGCAGGCCGCAGTCTACCTTGTATATATTCCAAAGCCAGACCATAAGGTCTGAGGATTGTTAGAGTACAAAGGATGCTAGCTAGATCGCTGCATCAGAAAAAGAGTACAGCAGGATAAAGATGAACTGGTCTAAGAAGCGGCTGAAAAAGAATCCGCTTTGCACAGAAGAAAAGTTTGCAAGGAACTGTCGTTCGTTCTGGTGCACCAGAGACGTAGCATCTCCGCTATAGCAGCCCCGGAAGCAGTATGTGATATGGCCACTTTGTCAAATATTTTGGCGTTGCGCCACTTTCCAGAGTTGAGCAGCACATGCAGCGATCAGCACAACCCAGTGATGACAGACCGCCTTCATTTTGGGCACAAAGTCCTGCAAGGAGAGTGATGCAATTGCTTGCTGAAGTAGCCCGAGCTTCTGCCATAAGTGCAGTGAGCGGGTGCGCATCGCAGAGTAATATGATCAATAGTTTCTTCCGCCGGGCAGAGATCGCAGAAAGGGTACTCAATATTATTCCATTGCTTGCGGAGCATGGTCGTTCTGACGTTCAAACGCCCTCTGTGAGCAAGCCAAAAGAAAACTCTCCATCTCTTCGGAATCACCTTGTTCCAAACTACGTCGGCCGGTGCCCAAAGGGCCCCCCTGAAGGTGAGCAAACTGTAGAAATCTCTAACTGCTGCAGGCTTATCAGAAAAGATATGAACTCGAGAGTCGGAGAGGCCTGCAGAAGGTGTGTGGGCAGAGGCGAGTAGCTCACTCAAAGCATGAAGCTCCTGCGTAGCAGTCCTTGAGAGATCGGGGTGAAGCTCCAAGGTCCAACGACTGGGGTATTGTGTAGCAGTCCTTGAGAGATTGGGGTGAAGCTCCAAGGTCCAACGACTGGGGTATTGCGAGGCAACCGAACACTGCTTATCTTTGGCAAAGGAGAACAGAGTGGGGAAGAGCTGATTTGAAGTGCGTGGCACCATTTGTCTTGTCAAAAAGCAGTTAGTTTCCCATCTCCCACATGACAAAAAGATGTTTGTTGCACCATACGTATATATTTTGCCATGGCTCTCCAGATAGGCGTGTCTGTTGCCCTCAGTTTGTCAGGCAAACTTTTGCTTAGATATCTATATTGGAACCATCGATAGCATGGAATTGATGAATGATAATCCCTAAATGCAAGGAATCATCGTAGCAATTTTCAAAGGTGGAAGTGATAAGTATGGAGTGTCGAACCCACAAGGAGCTAAAGGTAAGATCAATATTCTCTCAAGTCCTATCTACCACTGATACGACTCTACGTACACCGAACGTTTACTTCATCTAGAAACGAGAAATAAAACTACGTTGTGGGTATGAAGAGGATAGCTTTGCATGATACTGGAGAGCTAAAACATAAAAATAGGTGCTGTTAACATAAAGTTAGAATATATTATAATATATTACAAATAGCGAGTGTGGAATAATGATGGGTCGGTGTGCGGAATTTGTCCTAGGCAATTGTTAACAAGATCGGTGGTCGTTATTGCAAGTTTATATGAGGGAGAGGCATAAGCTAACATACTTTCTCTCCTTGGATCATATGCACTTATGATTGGAACTCTAGCAAGTATCCGCAACTACTAAAGATCATTAAGGTAAAACCCAACCATAGCATTAAAGTATCAAGTCCCCTTTATCCCATACGCAACAACCCACTTACTCGGGTTTAAGCTTCTGTCACTCTAGCAACCCACTATAAGCGAATCATGAACGTATTGCAACACCCTATAGCGGGAATCCTTCACATGCGCGCGGTACGGAAGGCACCATAGGACAACACCAAAATAAAACATACAACTCAAACCAATGTAGATCATCAATCAACCCAAAGACAAAAGAAATCTACTCAAAACATCATAGGATGGCAACACATCATTGGATCATAATATGTGGCATAAAGTACCATGTTCAAGTAGGGGATTACAGCGAAGTGAGGGAGAGTGGACCACCGAAAAGAGACGAGGAAGGCGGTGAAGATGGTGATGTTGATGAAGACGATCACCGCGGCGATGGTTCCCCCGGTGGCACTCCGACGCCACCGAGAGAGAGGGGGAGAGGGTCTCCCCCTTGTGCTTTCTCCTCCATGCCCCCCTAGATGGGGAGAGGTTCTCCCTCTAATCCTTGGCCTCCATGGTGATGATGGCCCCCTCCAGTAGGGTGCCGGAGAGGGCCTAGATTGATTTTTCGTGGCTACAGAGGCTTACGGCGGCAGAACTTCCGATCTAGGTTTCTTTCTGGGGTTTTTGGTATTTATAGGAATTTTTGGCGGCGGCCTCACGTCAAGGGGGTCCACGAGGCAGCGGCAAGCCAGGGGGCGCGCCCTAGGGGGTGAACGTGCCCTCCACCCTTTCCGCTTCCTCGTGAAGCTTCTGGTCCAACTCTTGTGCTTCGGGGTTCTCTTTTGGTCCATAAAAAAATCACCGTAAATTTTCAGCCCATTCTGAGAACTTTTATTTCTGCACAAAAAATGACACCATGGTAGTTCTCCTGAAAACAGTGCCAGTCTGGGTTAGTTCTAATCAAATCATACCAAGACCATATAAAATTATTGTAAACACGGCATGAATACTTCATAAATTATAGATACGTCGGAGACATATCAATGAACCTTGCAGAATTCTGTTGGCGAACTTGCAGAGCATGGCATCATTGTGTGCTTCCACATCTCTAATCCCAAGACCACCACACTTCTTGGGAGAAACAACCTGTTCCCAGGCTACCAAGCAGTCAACCCACTGTTTGTCAGCTTTCTTCTGCCAAAGAAAGTTTCTCCTGAGCTTGTCTACTTTGGCCAGGCTGCTCTTATTACATTTGATGCATGTCATGTAGTAATTTGGAATGGAGGAAAGAACGACATCAATCATAGTGAGGCGCCCTCCCCAAGAAAGATATGTGGCCAGCCAACCCACTAAACGCTGGTCGATCTTTTGAATCACAACATCAAAACTGAGTTGGAGATTTTGTGAATAGAAAGGGGTAAGCCAAGATAATTGCATGGCAGCGAACTGATCGGGCACCCCAGAATACTTGCTTCCTCCTTTGCATCATCTTCATTCATGTGGATAGGTACGAAAGTACTCTTATGGTAATTAATTTGTAATCCAGAGAAGTCAGAGAATTCCTACAAGATATCCTTGATCCGTGCAGCTTGTGTGCCTATACATTTCAAAAGAATCAAAGTGCCGTCTGCGTACTGTAACACTGGGAAGAAATCCAAACCACTTATAGGACATTCCAGAACCCCATCAGCTACTGCAGCAACACAGAACCATTGAAGTATATCTGCAACCAGGATGAAGAGGTATGGAGATAGCGGGTCGCCCTATCAAACACCATAGTTGAAGAGAATATCATTCCCAAGGCAGCCATTCATCATGACTTTGGCCCTGCCGGAATGGAGAATAGAGACCCAGGAGATCCATTGATCGCCGAAACCTCTTTGTTGTAGCAGATTGGTAAGGTAGTCCCAATTTACGCTGTCGAAAGCTTTCTTGAAGTCCAACTTAAAAACAATCATGGGGATCTTCCTCTTCCGCGCGCATTGTACCAGTTCGGAGGCTAACACAAAGTTTTCCACAATTGCCCTTCCTCTAATGAAGCCAGATTGCATGCAGTGAATCAACATAGATATGTACTGTTGTAACCTCACGGCGAGCACTTTGGTGAGCACCTTGATGGCGCTATGCACTAGAGAAATGGGTCTGAAGTTAGTGATCTCCAGAGGGTGTCGAATTTCGGGTTCCGGCAAAACCATTGAGGTTCGAACACTAGAGTGCACACAAAGATCTCTTAACCTCCCTAGCTCGCACACTCCACGTTCTCACGGCCTAGCTCGACGAACCCAAAGAACGAGAGACACAAGATTTATACTGGTTCGGGCCATCGTTGTGGTGTAATACCCTACTCCAGTGTGGTGTGGTGGATTGCCTCTTGGGCTGAGGATGAACAGTTACAAGGGAAGAACGGCCTCCTGAGGAGAGGTGTTCTTGTGTTGGGTGAGCTGGTGTGGTTGCCTTGGTGGCATGGATCCAGTCCAAGATTCGATGTTGTGTCTTCCCCTTTCTATGGTGGTTGCTAGTCCTATTTATAGAGGCACGGGTACTCTTCCCAAATATTGAGCGGGAAGGGATCCCACAACGGCCAATTTGAAGGGGGGCAGCTAGTACAAGCTATCCTGGCAAAAGTAGTCTTCGCCTGCCAAAGGCTCTCGTGGTGACGACATCTTGGGCTCCAGTGTGACCTCCGTCCTACTGTCCTGCTGGTCTTGGTATTGTTGCACCGATATGGAAACCTTTGCCTGATGCCTCGGGACTCCTCACCTGCGCTTGCCTCTTTAGCACCAAAGAGGAAACAAGGACACTGCACGTGCTGGCACCCGCCTGGCTCCAGTCGTCATGGCTTGCATCACGCAAACCTCGCGAGGTATCCCTTGCCTTGATCTCTTCGCCCCTTGCGAGCCAGCC